CAGGGCACCCTGGAGGCAAGCAGGGCGTCTCTTGGCATGGGCCTCCACTGTATCCTTTCCCGAGCTGTGCGCGCACACCTTGGCCACCAAGTTGGGGGAGCAAACACCGATGTAGACTTAAGAACTCGGAGGTCCGCGCGGACTCCTCGGATCGGCAGTGGGGCCCCCTTCTGGCGGCGCCTCCGGCGCCGCCCCTGGCGCACTCCGCGCGCCGGGGAGGGGGGTCCAGCACCGATTCGAGAAATCCGCGCGGACCTCAGAATTTTTCATGCTCATGTCATTGTTTGTTCTCCTAGACGTGCTCGATGGACCGCTCGAGGCGGTCCGGCAGGTAGTCCACGCGCTCGGACAGGCAGTGGTCCTTCAGGAACACGGCCACCGCCTCAGCGTCTGGCCGATCACGCCACCCGATCACGTGATCCGATGGCAGCCCTGATCACGATGGCTACCGTTCCGACCACGGATCGATCACGCATTCCAGCTCGGACGATCGTGCGATCAAGCCGAACCGACCATGATCGGTGATCATAGGGGAACAAGAAAGACAAATAACAAAAACTGGGACGTCCGCGCGGATTTCTCGGATCCGCGCTGGACCCCCTTCCCTGGCGCGCGGAGCGCGCCAGGGGCAGCGCCGGAGGCGCCGCCAGGGGGCCCCAGCGCCGATCCGAGAAAGCCGCGCGGACCTCCGAGCTTTTATTCTGTTTACGTCATTCTTCGCTCCCCCAGATCACGCGATCCCCCGATCGCTGCGACCACTGATCGCGTGCTCAGCAGACACCGAGGCCGCCGCGCTTGCGCTCTCCGCATGCAGCGGCAAGCTCGGCTGCTCCCGCCCCTGCACGGGCGCTGCCGGCGCCCCCGCCGGGCTGTTGGCCACGGCCCCGGGCGACGCGGCCGCGCCCTCCGTGGCCTGCGGCTGGGGGGGCCACGGGCACCGAAACCGCTGCAACCTGGACCTCTCCCGGGGTGCGTTTCTGACCGAAGCGTCGCGGCGAATCCAAGAACTCTTCTTCCTCTTCTTCTTCTTCTCCTCCTTCTCCTTCTTCTCAATCCTCCTTTCCTCCTCCTCCTCCTCCTCCTCCTCCTCCTCCTCCTCCTCCTCCTCCTCCGCTTCTGCCTCGGCCTCCGCCTCCTCGTCCTCGCTACTCCTCCTCCTTCTCCTCCTCGTCCTCCTCGCTCCTCCTCCGAGGGAGGGACCTCTTCCTCCCCTGCGCCCCTTTTGCGCCTGGGCGGCCGCGCCAGCGTCGTCTGCCTCTGCCTCGGCCCGGGACAGCTCCAGCGCGAGCTTCAGCTGCGCCTCTTCGAGCTGGCGCGAGGCGGCGCCCCCGCGGGCGCTCGGGCCTGGGGGCTCCCGCGGCGCCTCCGGCGCGGAGAAGGCCGCCGCCTCCGCGGCGTCGAGCGTGGGCGTGACGCTGAACTCCCTCGGCGGCCACCCAGCCCCCCGCGCGCTGCGAGCAGAGAAGTCGCGACGGCAGAGGCCTTTCGACGCCTTCGGCCTCCAGGGGCCCTCTCCCGGGCCTCGGGGCCGTCCACGCAGCGACCCAGGAGGAAGAGCTGGCCCCGGGGAGGAAGAGGTCCAGACCTCGGGGGGGGCAACGCCGTGAACACACCACGACGTCGGGTGTCTGGGCACGCGCAGGCGCCCCCGAGGTCCAGGCGTCGCAGGGCGTCTTCGCCGCGTGCTGCAGGCCTCGAGGGCCGCCGCAGGTCGGTCCGGCGCGCAGAGCGTGCCGCGGACGGATCGGTGCCGCGGTCGGGACTGGCTTTTGGTTCGCGCGTCGCGGCGGCGGCCCCGGCTGGACGAGACGAGCGGGAGGCGTGGGCACTCGGGGCCTGGGGCGTGGATCGGCGGCGACGGGAGGGGCGAAGAGCCCAGGGGCCGGCATTGCACGTATTCGCCCGGGAGCCTTTTCGAAGGCATGGATCATCGGCGCACCCGAGTACATGTATTGCTCTCCCCTGGGCTATTCGCCCCCATCGTCGCCTCGGAGTGGAGAGCGTGTGGCTCCAGGGCGTGGAGGGCCAGGGCCGGCGGCGCGCCTCTCCTCGTATAGTCCGTGGGCACCAGAGGTGGGCAGAGAGATGGCCAGGCGCCGGTCCGCGAGCGGTGGGGCGCACCGGGGGCGAATGGAGGCACGAGGTTGGGCGCCCCACGGGGGCTGTAGCCGCAGAGTGCCCCGAAAGGGGCGACGCGAAAAGCAGATTGGCAGGGACTGCTTCCAACAGTTTCCACAACCCCCCCACCGCCAAAAACATACTCAGCGAGAGTGTTGGCCGACAGCTGCTGTTTTTCGCCCTCGTGCCACGAGGGCGAGAAACAGAGCGCGAGGGGGGGGGGCAGGGAGGAAGCCGACAGCGGCGGCGCGACACGCCGAGCCAACGCTCCTGACCGTAGGGCTCCCGCCGTGATTTTCGGCGGTGATCCCACCAATTTAGAAGAAGAAAAAACGGCATAAGCACAAACTTTTGGCGCTCCGCGCGGAGTTCTTGGATTCGCGCTGGACCCGCTTCCCTGGCGCGCGGAGCGCGCCAGGGGCGGCGCCGGAGGCGCCGCCGGGGGGGCCCGGCGCGGATCCAAGAAATCCGCGCGAAACGCCAAAAGTTCATGTTTATGCAATTTTTTCTTCTTCGATGACCGTCGGGCCCCCGTCGTGATTGTCGATGGTGTTCCAACTTTTTCGCGACGCCGGATCTCAGGGGAGGCCCTCGGCAGGAGGGGAGGGGAGGAGGATGAGGATGAGGATGAAAATGAGGATGAGGATGAGGATGATGAGGAGGAGGAGGAGGATGAGGAGGAGGAGGGGGAGGAGCAGGAGGAGGAGGCGGAGGAGGAGGAGGAGGAGGAGGAGGAGGAGGAGGAGGAGGAGGAAGAGATGAGGAGAGGATGAGGATGATGATGATGATGATGATGATGATGATGATGATGATGATGATGATGATGATGATGATGATGATGATGATGATGATGATGATGATGATAATGCTCATGCTGATGATGACGAGGAGGAGGAGGAGGAGGAGGAGGAGGAGCAGGGTGGAGGAGCAGGGTGGAGGAGAAGGGTGGAGGAGGAAGGTGGAGGAGGAGGATGGTGGTGGTGGCTGGCCATTAAGGCAGGTTAAAGGAAGTCCTCGTCGGAGGCCTCGGAGACGCTGTCGGGGCCCCCGTCGCCGCCCGATTGGCCAAGTTCCTTCGCTCGTTCCACATCGGCGGCGCGCAGCCCAGAGGCCGGCAGGACTGATGCCTGCCCTCCCGCGGCACCACCCCCCGTGGCGGGGCCCGAGCCTGCGGAGGGCAGCTGCAGCGAACTCCCGAGCTCCGCCCTCTCCTCAGCACCCAGAGACACTGGCTGGCTGAGCACGGGGGCCTCCGAGGAGCGCCGATAGTGGGGGCGCTTCCCCCGCTTGATGCGTCTCAGCAGGGACCTGACCTTCGGGTCCGCTGGCTTCCGCTCAGACCGCGACAGCAACACACCGCCAGGCTTCCCCGAGGTGTAGCCCCCACATCTAAAACACAAAATCTTGCCAGAATCCGCGGGCGGCCCCTCGACGTCGCACCTGAGCAAGCCATGCCCGCGGAAATAAAAGACATTCAGGACCTCGTCGGCCCGCGGGCCACAGTCGCCGTCCAAACCGCCCACCTCCACGACGACATCAGACGACGGCCCACCCTCTCCCTCGTTCTCGGGGGGGGGGGGGTGGGCGGCAGCTCCGAAGGACCGTGCTCCTCGGCGGCAGTGCCAACCGTATTGCCCCTGCCGCCCTGCTGGGCGAGCCTGCCCTCGAGCCTGCCCGCCCCCCCTGTTCTTGACAAAGAGCCTTGAACCCTCTGATCAAGCTAGCATGCTCTTCAATGACTCCATGCACAAAGGCTCCTGCTCTAGCGTGGCGGTCCGCGGCCTGGTTGGCCCGAAGCTTCTACCAGGTCCTCTTGCCAGACTCCAGGTAAGCGCTGCCCGCGTGGGCCAGCGCTTTGAACGCCTCAAAATCTTCACTGGAAAACGCAGCCCGCAACGGCGCCCACATGTGCCCTCTTGGGGCTCAAGCCTCGGTCCCCGTGCCTGCGCCCCCGCAGAAAACATGGGGCGTCGACTGGCAATCAAGATGCAGTTGGAAAGGCCCCCTCCCTATATGCGCTAACATGTGGATCGCGAAATCTTCGCCATCCTGTTGCATGCGACGCATTTCCGAACCTGTCGACTTGCACTAGCGCCCAGGCCGCCCGACTGACTCCTTCGATCGACGGCCGCGTGGCCGAGCCGTCGCTGAAGATGCACCCCGCGAGGAAACCGCGCACAGGCTTGTTCGCCCACTTGACAGCCTCATAAGGGGTCTTCGCGGGGCACAGGAACCAAGGGGCTAGGGGGCGCACGCCTAGCAAAACGCTCTCCCGCCTCGACCCCTTGCTCAATTGCTCTGGCAGCGCGCTCCCTCAGCCACGGCGAGACTCCATTCCTCCTGAAACCTTTCTGCGCCGCGTGCTCATACTGCCAATGCCAGAGCGTGCCGCTGCAATCCTGACGCAACCGACGCGCGGGCGACGTGTGCAGCCCGCGCCCGTGCGCCGTTGCTTGCGGCCAATGCGCGCTGCAAATCAAGGCTCTTAGGGCGCGCTGGTGGTGGCTAGACCAATCCTTTCTCTTGCCGCAGAGGAGCTGGCGCAGCCGCCGCCAGATAACGGGAAAAACATCATGGTGGCCTCGGGGGCCCTCGCTCCCAAGCCGGCCCGAGCTGTCCAAAGCAAAACGATCCGACGCCCTTGTGGCCCCGTCCTGCACCGGCCCTCTAAGTTCCGACGGCGAGAGCTGGCGCGAGTTCCACGCGCGCCCGAAATCGTGCATCAGGTGCGTGCTAGACAGGAATCTCCAGCCTATCCTGGACACGGTGAGGCAAGCTACTTTCGCTGGCGACGAGGCGACCCTCCACGGGTGACGGAGACGCTCCAGTTTGTCAAGAGCCGCGCCCATGGTAGCACCTAACACCGTCGGGGAGGGAGCTTTCCCACGCGGCCGAGGCCCACTGACGACGTGCCCCGTATAGGTAACCAGCGGGTCCGCCGAGGCCCCGAGCCTGTGCGAGCTGAGCCCGAGCCCAAGACTGGATCCTTGCGGGGGCTTCCCGATGCTACGGGCAGCAGAGATGCGCAGGCCATGCGTGGCGATGGGGGAACCCCAGTCAAGCTGCTTCCCCGGAGCGCCGGCGCAGTAGCTCCAACCCTTTGGATGAGGCCTACATCCACGCCCGCGCTCTGCAAAATCTGCAAACGCTGGCCCCTGGATTTGGCAGCTGCGAACCTACTCCTGGCTATGCCAACTCGGCGACAAGATCCCGAGGGCGCGTCCGTGCCAACATTCCGAGCCGAGTCCACCCTGGGCGAGGACGGGATCCTCCAGCGATCCCTGAGAATCCTAGACACTTCCAGACTACAAATATACTTGGTCTTGCTCACTACAACTGGAAGGCTCAGACGATCGAAATCCGTCAGCAGCGACTCAACCCCTTCATCGAGAACCTGGGCCACGTGCTCCTTCATACCACATACCTGCAGCGCAATGTCATCCACGACGTTGCTAACCATCAACTGCGGTCTCCCCTGCTTTGCCTGCAACATCGGGCCCAAGAGGAGCAGCTTCGCAAGACGCGTCCCGCCACTGCATCCTGCAATCGCAAACCCGTTAGCGTGCGCCGCCCGTGACGCCGCTCCCCCGTATAGAAGCGTGCGGGCGCATCCATAGATCGTGCACAGGCAGCGCAGAAGCCTAATCGGGAAGTTGAACTTCGGCGCCGCCTCATACAAGTGTTCGTGACCTATGTGCTCGTAAAACTTGAAAAGGTCCAACAGGGCGGAGGCCGACTCGAACCAGACCCTTTCCGAGAAACTCCCAAGGAGGTTATGGACCCACCCAGCGCTCACGCGTAATGGTTTTGCTGACCCCCCAGAAGACGTCCTCCATGTGGTCGCGCTCCCATCGCTTGAACATGGAATGCCTTGCCCTGGGCCAATTCTGGGTAAAAAAAGCCAGCGGGCCGACGGGGCTCGCGCCTCTGTCGGCCTTGTCGATAAAAAACGATTTTCTTCATGCAGAGGAGCATTTCCTGTGGTGGCTCCTCAAACCTGTGCAGAATGTCGATCAACCGTGTAGCGTGCTCCTCGCCAAGCTCTAGTACCCGCCAAGGTTGAAACCCATCCCACCCCAATCCGCACTTCCTGCTATACCTCTTGCAAACCTTCATCAGAAGCTCGGGCGATAATAGCTGGCAACGCAGCCTCTTCACGAGGCGCAGGCCATGTCGCGGGATGTTGGGCTCCTCGGACCGCTACATGCCATAGCGGCGTCCAGCCCGCAGGTGGCCCGACGCTTTCTGCCAGCAAACTGGCTTCCCTGCCGCATCTAGCAAAACTCAACTTGGACAAAACCCCCGC